CGCTGCTGTTCTTAAATTGCTGTTTTCAATAAAGGTTAAAGACTCCGATCGTCGTGTATATTTTTACAACTCCTCCTCACATCAATAGTACCTCATCTAATAAGATTTGCTCTGGGTTAATCTACCCCAAAATCAGCTCGGCAGTAAAAGATATCTGGCGGTCATCACACTTTCACGACACACGGTTATATATTTCTATATATTTATATATGTAAAGAAAGAAATTTTTTAAAAAAAAGTTCAAAAAAAAAAACTAAAAGTAATGGTAGATAGGAAAGGATTTGAATGTTAGGATAATAGCAAATTTGTGGTGCTTTTAAATTATATTTTTTGATTGGTGAAAAGTAATTATAGCACTGAAATACATCCGCTTTCACGTTTAAATATTTCCGCAAATGACAAATGGCACATGACAAATTTACTTTCGCTTTTAGTTTTTACCATATTTTACTATAGAATTTTTTCTTTTTTTTTTCAAAAAAAAAAGGTTTAGAAAAATGACATATCTAAAGTGACAAATAACTATTGCAAAAGGAAAATCGTTATTTGTTGTTCTAATTTTCTTTTTTTTTTTGAATTATCAGATTTGACAGTAATCAGGGAACTAAGAAACGGAAAAGTTGACAAATTTTCAAAATGAATTATTGGGATAATAAGAAAGAAAAAGGCTAATATATAGTTTGGATCAGGCGATTTTTGAAAATTACACTCCTCAAAATGCTTTTTATTTTTTTTCTTTTTTTTTCCTAAATTTTTTTTTGCAACCAATTTATTTGACTTCTGTTCACCGAAGACATCTGTTACATATACCATAATACAAAGTAGATTTCAATTACTCTTTAACAATTTCTAATATTTCGACTGCAATATTTTCACAGCTTTTGAACTTTAACCGCTCGCTTTTATTCTGGGATGAGAAATATACTTGGAGAAAATGCTAACTATTTAAGTTGTTGTGAATGAGTTTGTTTGATTTGATTTAGGAGAGCTTTGTTGGTACGGTCGAATTAATTGGTGAAAGTTTTTTCTTTAGGAGAGATTTCCTTTTGATCGATATTATTGGGCTAGTTATATTCCGTTGAAATGGGAGTTGATCGTTCTATGAGATCACAAATCGGATCAATTTGGCTTGGATTCGTTAATGGGATTTTGATTTAGAATGTTTGTTCCAGGTATTGTTAACCTTAATATAGTGAGAAACTACGCTAACTGATGTAGTTTATTAGATCGGATAGATTTTTAGTTAGTGACAATAACGATAATGCAGAAATTGATTGCGGAACAATGCTATCAGAGGTAATAAATGATATACGATGCTGAATACGTGAGTTCATATCTATTTTAGACATCAACGATCAAAGTCGAATACAATCTTGATATTCCGCAGAAACACAATATTCTTAAAATAATGCTCACTAATTTATTCAAATATATTCCAATTTTGGAGTAAATAATACGAAATATTACAAATATAATTATAATTCATCCAAAAATTTATGATCAAATGGATCACATTGAAATACAATCCTACGGTAAATTAGGTTATTGGAGGAAACAGCACGGTTTTATAAACGTAAGTATAATTTTCATGAAATTTGTTGGTAAAATGACATATATTCATATGCATATCGTTTAACTTTCAGAATAAATTTATATATTTTACTGAAGTATTTCGCATGAATTAAATTTGATAATTTTGAATTATAGATTAATTTTGGATCTCCGACACGAGTATGATTGTCAACAATTTATTGATAACACATAATTGATGAATAATTTCAATTCGTTAAAAATTTCGGCTTCACTTTTGCAAACAGAAAGAGTGTTAAAGAAGTAATGTGTAAAGCAATGTATAATATTTGTATGTTTTGAGAACAAATTATATAATTTTATTCTGTGCACAAAAATCCGAGCAATAATTGAAGAAGAAATTCCCGAGAATTCGATGGCACCTTCTAGCAATGACTCATCAACATATTTGCACGTGTTTCATTCCGTGTCATTTTAATACTCATAAACTATTAAAGCAGGAAATACGTTAATAAATTAAAGAGGAATTCAAACATTAAGTTAAAAATAAGTAATAACGATAACAGCAATAGATGAAATGATAAAAATTAAGGATGAACAAAGTATTTAGTTAATGAAATACTGAAATATCAAAAGCAACAGTAGATATTTCAAAAAATTTTTTTTTAGCATTTAATTTCTTCATGAGTAATTCCAATATTAATTGCTTGAGGGGTTTTGGTTGCTTGCAGAAGGTCTGTTACTTCCATGAGTTTCCATGTGACTTTTAAGATTACGTTGCGAACGATAACTTTTTCTGCACGACGAACATTTGAACGGCTTTTCACCGGTGTGATTCATCTTACGGCTTTTCAATGGAGGCGATTGATAGAAACTTATGTAATAAGGAAATACCCGTCTGCCTTTACCACTGTGAATTGGCATATGACGTTTCAAAATCGATAATCGAGAGAAGTCTCTTCCGCATATGGGACATTCATGTGGTTTTTGATTGATATGAGTTACATTATGTCTTTC